GCCTCATGAATAAAGGCAAAAAAATAGATAGATGATCGATCGATCGATCGATCGATCATGGCTTTAGTGAGAAAGTGACATGTCAGCAGACTTGAAGGAAGTGAGGGAGTGAGCTCTCTCCATATTTGGAAAAAGAACATTTTACGCACTGGAACAGCCCCAAGGCGCTAAGGCAGCAGCGTGGCTGGTGTACGGCAAGGTAAGAAGGGAACTTCTCTAGAAGCGATTGCAGTCATCCAGACAAGAGATGAGCTCTTGTAGACTTGGCTCACTTGCAGTGGAGGTAGTAAGCAGGCAGGTTTGGGATACATTTTGAAGGGACAGACAATAAATTTTCCTAAAGGAATAGATGTGGGGTATGAGAGAAAGGAAAGCACTAAGAATCTTGCCAAGATTTTTAATCTTGGCTACAAGGATAGGAAAGGCTGTCAGATATAGATGTGAGGGGGAAAATCAGTTCAGATTTGGATACATTGAGTTTGAGGTGTCTGTTAGATGTCTATAGCATCTCAGATCCCTTTGGTCTCCTTGCCTGTGGAGCCTTTGGCCTTTTTCTGTCCCCACTGCCATGGCCAACATACTTCAGGCCGTAACCACCTGACAGTGCTTTGTTTCACGTTCGGGCCCATACAAAATGGAAGTATCTGTGTTTTGGGGAGGACGGTAGCATTATCATTTCGTTGACAGAATCTTGACCAATTCCCCTGACACACTTTTTTTCCCTACTCTTTTCCCAGGAATTATATTCCCAAATAAAATAATAGCACAGAGCTTATGCCTCAGGTCTGCTTTCTGGGGGTACCCAGGCTAAGTCAACAACCAAGTGGAAGTGTGAGTAAGTACTTGTTTCGATGAGCCTGGAGTTTGGGGGAGTGATTTGGAGGGAAGGTATGATTTTTAAAGTTGTAGCATAGACCTAGTATTTGCAACCATGAGACTGGCTGGGAGCACAAAGGAGTGGACAAAAAGAAATGTCCAAAAGACGAGAGGATGAAAATTTTAGTACCTTTGAGACAGAAGCAATGTTTTTGTTCAGTACTATAGCCCCAGTTTCTAAACATGACACAAAGCACGTATTTAACAGATACTTTTAGAATAAATGCAATGGATCACCATGGCCTTGGAGTTATGTAGGAAAGCAAATTAAGTCATGAGAGGTGTTGAATTAGAATAGGCAGGGTTCGTTGAACTTGAGTTTGTAGTGAAAGTGAAAATTAGGTTCAACAGTATAAATAATAGAGAAAAATAACAGGAAAAGGAAGCCGTGGTTAGAGAAAAGCTCTCAGATATAACTTTCTCCTTGAAGACTTTTATAATCATCTCATGAGACCTTCCCCTTTTCTGGATCTCTATGAAGGCACTTCTATGTCTTATCTATATTACATTAAGTCAAGTTATATCTATGTGCTCTTCTCTACTTTCCCCAATATAGATACTTTCCAGGGGTGCAACTGAGTCGAAAATAAGGGTAGCTTCTAAGTCCCAGAGACAGAAAATGGATGCTGAAAGTTTGACATTCCTAGTTCATTTTTTATGGTTCATGGAGATGGTAGGGAAGAACAGATTAAATTGCGAGACTCGATTTCAAATCTGGAGTGGATCCGAAGGTTTAGTAAAATAACTTGCACTTGGATGAATTGGAGGACTGAATGTACAAAGTCAGGTGAGTACAGAGGCCAAGAGAGCAGAACTCAAGAATACACGGTTTGAGGCCTGTGGGTCTGAAGGCAGGGCACAGGCGAGGAAGGGAAGTGGGCCTTCAGTCAGAAGGCACCTATGAAGTTAGCAAAGTACGATATGAAGAGAGAGAGCCTACATGAAGGTCAGTGTGACCAGACAGGAAGAATATGCGGAAATTTCTACAAATTATAAAAAAATGACCATTTTGCTGGGTGATAAAAATAGGCCATGAGGCAATAATTCCAAGAATTTGGCATTAGGTACAGGGTAAGAAGAGCAAGAAGAGCTCAATTTTGAAAATGTATTTGACACAAGGCTGAGATCTGCAAGGAAAAGCTACTAATAGGCAACATTTTAATCAATGCTTGCTACCTGCCAAACATTGCTCCAAGTGCACGTTCCCGTCAATGGTCTCATTTAATTATGACAACACTAGGATGATGTACGTGTTATGATCGTCTTTATTTTACAGATGGGAAAACTGAGGCACAAGAATGAACAATTAATTGCCCAACGTCACATAGCTAGTAAGTGGCTGAGCAAGGATCTGAACACCAAAATATTAAAAAAAAACTTTGCCCAGGACCACTCATATTCATTCTTTATTCAATAAGTATTTAACAAGCACCGCTACATTCTAGAAATGGCGCTGGTGCTAGAAGTGGGAAGGAAGGGAAAAAGCCGGTGGTAAACAAGACAGACATAATGCCTACCTTACATGGACATTAAACAAATAAGTATGTATGGTGAGTCAGAAAAAGAAAGTGAGAAGTTACTGTTTGGTAGGGGGAGTGGGTAGTAAAAAGAATTCCAGAGGGTAGGGAAAAACAACCGTATACCTTGAAATGAGAGCCTACAGTAGGGAAAAAAAAGAGAGAGAGAGAGAGAGAGAGAGAGAGGGAACAGCCTAGAAAAAAATGAAAAGAATAATATGGCTAGAGTGCTGAGAGCTAGGGAGACAGCTGGGGGAGCTGGGGAGAATGAGAAGCCCAGATGGTGGAGGGTCTGGTGTTCATGATAAGGAGCTTAGACTGTGTTCAGTAAGCAAAGGGAAACTATTAAAGGAATTCAAGCAGAGTAGTGACTAGATCAGATTTATATTTTTAAAAATATTACTATGGCTACGGTATGGCAAATGGATTGGAATACCCCAAAAACAGTTCTGTAGGACCTAGATGGTAGTTATTGCAGGAACTTCAAAGAATGAAGATTGTCTATACTAGAGAATGAAAAGTGGCTACAGGAAAGGAGAGAGGCCACAAATCCAATTTTCTAAGGCAGACAAGTTTAGGGGGTTCTGATGTGTGTCAGAAGTATCTTAAGTTTCTGGCTTGAACTGAGTAGATGCCCTTTACTAATCCAAGGGCTTTGGGAAGAGGATTTTGGAGGGAATATGATATACAGGTTGAGTTTGACATGGCGCAGTCATCCAAACGGAAGTGTAGCAAGGTCAGTTAGGAATATGAATCCAGAGTCCAAGAGCAAGATCTAGGTTTGAGTTATGGGCTGGACAGTCTTTGGCAGAGGGAACCTGAAGCTACTGGATGTGGATGAGACCACCAACAAAGTACACATTAGGGCTCAGCTCAGCAGGATTCCAATATCTGGATAACGGAGAAGCTGGTTGTCAAAGAACAATCAGAAAAATAAGAAGAAAACTTTGCTATAAGAGCAGAAGGAAGAGCATATTTAAATGAGGGGTGTGGTCAATAGTGTCAAAAACTAGAATGAGGTCTTGTAAGATGAGGACGGAAGCTTGCGTGTGACAATTCAGAGCTGCTTCAGGTGAGTGGTAGGAACAGAACCCAGACTGGAAAGGGCTGAGGAATGGAACACGTGAGAATGTCCCCTGGGGAAGAGACAGCTGCAGTCATAGATGGAGAAAGATTGAAGGAGAGAAACATTTTAAATGAGAGAGTTAAGCATGTTCAAATGACAGAAAAGCCAGCAGTGAAAGAAGGGTTGAAAATAACAGAAGGAAAGGGGACCCCTCTTCAGCCCAAAGTCCCCGAGAAAGCAGAAGGGGATCTAGAGCACTGGGAAGAGCAACTCTTCTTTGTAACAGGAAGCCAGTAAGGGGTGGGGCTCAGATTTGAACCCTCTCGTTCAGCGTCCGAAAGATAGAGGACAGAAGGAGAATTATAATAGACATGAGCCGCAGAGTTCAGTAAAAAGAGTCAGAAGCGTGGCCTTGAGCGACCTCTGAGATAGCAGTTTCGGTAGTCGAGGGAACGTTAGTCACACTGTCGGGTTTAGAGTGGGAGTGGGGTGGTGAAGAAAAGGGCACAATGGGTGTAAACCACTGAGGTGGAAAACGGCTATGAAAAGACAGCGACCAGTAAGGTACCCCCCCCCCAAAAAAAATAGGGCAGGTGGGGGAAGGGAGGTCATATTTCGGAGTGTCCAAGAGCAACCTCGATCTGGACAGGTGATTGCTCGGAGGCCCCCGAGGACCGAACAGATCATTCCCGGGCCTGGCTGCCCGGTTGCACCCAGCGAGGTGCCACAAGTCCCTGGAGCTCCAGCTACT